ATCATCATTTAAAAACTGCATTTTGTATTTACTTGCATTATCTTTGTGTAATATAAAAATTTGTTTGATGATCTGAATCTTTTAAGTGTGACAAATATGCAAAAAAAACCCCAAAAAACAGGAAGGGGGCAAAAACCTTTTCACGGCACTGTATATATATATATATAACAGCTACAATTATATATTTAAGTATTACATAATACATATATAATATATTTGTAATAAATTATTGAAAATATAATTTATTATTAAATAATTTTTATTTTTATTATTAAATGTATATTATTAAATAAAATTTTATATATATATATATATATATATACACACACAGTATATTAAAATTATTATTATTATTTTATTATTAATAATTAATTATAAATATTATTAAATAAAATTATATATGTATATATATATATATAGTATAAATGTACTATATAATACATATATTTAATGAATTATAAATTATCAAATAATTGAATGTATTATTACATTATTATTATTTTTATTATTATAGGTATATTATTAAATTAAATTAACTATAACTATTATGAATATAATTAAAAGATGAGATCTTACAAGCTGGCATCTGCCCAATACAGCCTTTGATCGTCATAGTCCAGTGTCAGACCATTTGGCCAAACCAGACTAGTGTTGACGATCTCTGTCCTGAAGTTTCCTCCCAGAGTTGCACGCTCTATCTTTGCATTGGTTCCCCAGTCGGTCCAGTACATATACCTGACAGCATATACAGAGAAATGCATTTAAATTAGATGATAAAATGGCTCATTATACATCTAAACCACAGTCTAACTGAATGGGAGACTCACCCTCTACATGGATCCAGCATGATGGCTCTGGGTCTGGGCACCTGTGCTACAACAGTCCTCTGAGACCCATCCACTGCCATGGAGCTGATGCTCTGGTTAATGTAGTCACTGTAATAGATCCTCTTATTGATCCAGTCATAGGCAATGCCATCAGGAGCTCCCAGATCTCCACAGTTCAGAAAAAAAGTTATAAAACTTTATAAGGAGCAAAGGTTTGGAACAACATGAGGTCGAGTAAAAAACTGTCCCTTTAAATCTAATTTTTGCTAACTTTCTAATTTAATGTGCTTATCAACAGTTTTTATCATTATATTTGGTTGTTATACTGTATTTATCATTGTATGTATCACTCAGGCAGCGTTGTGTGCTTGCTGAAGATACTTATGCAGCCCATCTTTTCAAATACATAATATTGCTTTAAAATACCAAAAGAAAAATCACGTAGCATGTTACAGAACAATCTTCAGGTTGCATTTGGTTTATTATATTATATTATATTATATTATATTATATTATATTATATTATATTATATTATATTATATTATATTATTATCAACCAGCTTTTGTACATTTCTGCACACATTTTACTGTGACTCTCAGACAGTAGACATGATCCTGAATAACTCCAGAACTGAACATTTGATCTGCTCAAACCAAAATGTAAAATAACAATAACAATTATGAGAATTTTCTGCCTGAGAAACAAATAACTTCTCTCATGCTTTCTTTCTTTTTTATATTTCACAAAAAGAACAAGTTTGCTTGCGTGGTACTACATAATGCCTAAATAACCTCCAGTCTGCAAACTAACCATTGTAAATGTCACATGAGATACTTTGTCAAGCCAACATTCAAAGACTGCCTTAACAAACTTTCCATTTCTAGCTAAACCTGCAGTGTCAGGGTGCATTAGGAGTTTAAATAAGCTGCTCACCTGAGGCCACCTCTGTCACAGAAGAGGTAGGCGAAGCCAAAGTAATGAAGCTAATCTTGCTATGGCCCGCTCCCGAGCTCTGGGTGAAATAGATCCTGCCATCCAACTGGTCGAAATCAAGGGCTACCGAAGTCCGGGGCATGTTAACCACGGGAAAGGGCAGCGAATGATCCTCTGGATCCAGCCGCAGAGATCGTACAGTGCTTTCTGTCGTATAGATAAGGTAGTCATCCCGGGATACCACACAACTGCTGCTATCCGCAGCTAGATTCCCAAAGGCACACGAACACTTCCTCGTCTGAGATCCTCGGATGGCGAAGCAGAAGTGAGCGCAGCCGCCGTTAGACTCCAAGCAGGGGTTGTTATTGAGCTCGTGGGCCGAACTTGGCTGCATTCTCCGGTCGAAGATGGTAACGTCCCGCAGCATGTTGATGTTGTCTCGGATCACGAGTGGCTGGTCGGTCGCACCTGGCTGTTTGCTCGCTTGGAAGACTTTCTTCAGGTTTCTGTCCACCCAGATTACATTCCCCTCAAACACGGTGACGCCGTACGGAGTCGGATAGCGACTCCCGTACCGTATGACCTTCATCTCACCCCCGTCGGGCCGGACTCGTGCGATCATGTCCAGGGAATCGTCCACCCAGTAAATGTATCCATCTCTGTGGTCCAAAGCCAGGCCTCTGGGGGTGACGATGCCTGAGGAAACCAGCACGGTCCGGTTGGAACCATCTAGAAAAGCTCGCTCGATTTTGGGGGTCTGTCCGTAGTCGGCCCAGAAGAGGTATCTGTTCATGGGGTCCACCGCAATATGACGAGGCATGTCTACTTGGGTCTTTAGAAGGACACGACGGAACGTGGTATTGAGTCGAATCACTTCAATGTACGTCTCGGTCAAGAAGGCATTGGTGAAATAGAGGCTTCCTGTGGAAAGACAAAGACAAGAAACATGCAGAAAATGTGAGAAACCCTGACGCTTAATGTTGCTTTGAGAGATTAAGGACCAAACACTTTGTTTGTCTATGTACACATGCACTAGATGGATATCTATGCTTTTTCAGCCTCTTGTACCATTAGTGAAAGTGAGTGCATCAGAGCTGCGTTTTAAAAATGGCATGTCAAGTTAGTCCATTATAAACGGTGTTATAGAGTAACAAAAAAAGAACAATATGTGACCCTGGACCACAAAATCAGTCATAAGGGTCAATTTCTCGAAATTTAGATTTATATATCATCTGAAAGTTGAATAAATAAGCTTTCCATTGATGTATGGTTTGTTAGGATTGGTAAATATTTGACCGAGATATTTGAAAATCTGGAATCTGAGGGTGCAAAAAAATCTAAGTACTGAGAAAATCGCCTTTAAAGTTGTCCAAATGAAGTTCTTAGCAATGCATATTACTAATCAAAAATTAAGTTTTGATATATTTATGGTAGGAAATTTACAAAATATATCTTTACTTAATATCCTAATGATTTTTGGCATAAAAGAAAAATCGATAATTTTGACCCACACAATGTTTTTTTGGCTATTGCTACAAATATACCCCAGCGACTTAAGACCAGGGTCACATATGTGCAACAAAACATAAGCAAATTAGTTGTTTCATACAAAATCTAAGTTGAGTAGAATGTATAGTGTCTATAAACAAATAAATAAATAACTACATCACTATGGAATACTTTCATACTACATTCTGATTGGTCCATTGCAACATTCTGTTGTCATACACAGTATATTTGTTTGTTTTGTTTTGTTTTTTAAAGAAATTGTTCTTTTTTGCCGTAATAATGCATTACATTCATCAAAATTGGGCAGTAAAGACATTTATAAATATTTCAAATAAAAACTGTTATTTTGAACTTTCTATCCACCAAAGAATCCTAAAAATTGTATGTATGTTTGTTTGTTTTTTGGAATAAATTAATACTTTTATGCCATAATGATGCATTACATTCATCAAAATTGGCCAGTACAAACATTTATAATGATTTCAAAAGATTTATTTTTCATATAAATACTGTTCTTTTAAACTTTCTATTCATCAAAGAATCCTGGAAAAAAACAAAACAATGTATCATGGTTTCCACAAATATTTTAAGCAGCACAACTGTTTTCAACATTGATAATAACTCAGATTCCAGATTTTCAAATAGTTGTATCTCGGCCAAATATTGTCCTATTGTCCAAAAAATTTACCCTTATGACTGTTTTTGTGTTCCAGGGTCACATATTTGCAAAATTATGCTGGCAATGTACAATAAAGCAACATTGTGAATAACTGTGTTTTTTATTTGGCTGTAAAGTTTAATAGTGTCTCTGACTTCAATATCAGTAGCAAAAATGACATTATAGTTGTTAAATTGAATTCATTTCTGTGAGTCAGTTCAAACAGTCCATTTCAATGAATATATATGTGTATATGTATAATCTATTATTAAATTGCGTGTGTATGTATATTCTTTTTTATTACAAAATAATAAAAAATATATAAAAATATAACACTTTATGAAACCCTAGACTGAAGCCATTGATGGCAGTGAGCATAGATATCACCACATAGGATTGGTATGGAGAACAGGTTCTGTTATCAGCACTGAGTTTGAACCCAGTCGCACAGGCGCAGCTGAACAGGCCACCGGGACGAGGCAGACACAACTGCTCACACGTCCCCACGTTATTACTGCAGCCGTTAGACGAGCCTGCTGAGGCTATGGGGAGACAAACAGCAGATAATGAGAATGAGAGACAGATATTTAATACTGCAAATATGTAACCGTAAGAGTACATGATACTGACTCATATCTATCTATTCTGGTAATGTATACACATTCCTGGTGCATATCAGTGTGTAGCAGTACTGATATATTGGGACTCTGCTTTGCTAGCACTTCCAGATCTTACTGGAAGCACTTATACAATAGACGGCGTTCACAGCCCTGGAGAATGAACATGTGCACTGAACACCGAACAAAGGGACACTGATTCTTCTCCGCATAAAGCTGAGTGTCCCCCTGAGGCAGAGGGGAACTAATTGGTAAACTGATATCCTATTGAAAGTCATTCATCGCTCTCTGGTAATTGCTACATGGCCATCAAGGTTACGCTGACTTCCAGAAAAGACCACCCTACGTCAACCGCAGAATGAATCAGAGATAAATGTTAAAAAAATGGCACTGAGAGATGCCTACACAGGCAGCAATTTGAGGTTCAATTGCAGCAATTTAGCTTTTCAGCTGCACACACTCCAAAACCAACTGCTACCTTGATCAATATAATCAAAGAACATGTTACAGTATTTTTTCTTCAGAATTGAAATTAATCCAAATGAAAAATGTGATTATTTTACCCAACATTTGCGTCATGTGTTGTTTTATGCTTATTAGAATTCATATCCAAAAAATAATTATTCCAAAAGTACTTTAAATTTAATTGATATTAATTAAAAATGGACTATTTTACCCAACATTTCTGTATGATGTTAGTTGTATGTGTATTAGAGTTCTCACTGTTAGCTTAGCAACATGCTAACAATGTCTAAAGCTGTATATTGTTATTGTTATATATGTGTGTGTGACCCTGGAGCACAAAACCAGTAATAAGTCGCACGGGTATATTTGTAGCAATAGCTAACAATACATTGTATGGGTCAAAATTATCGATTTTTCTGGTCCAGGGTCACATACATATATATATATATATATATATGATTATTTTAAAACATATTTCATTAATTTGCAGCTTATTTTAATAAAAAAAATGTAAACTGTTGTTCGTTGTTGTCATTAGGGATGCACCAAATGTTTGATAACCGAAATTATTCGGTCGAAAATAGCAAAAAAAAAAAATTATTATTATTATAAAGAATAAGCGAAAAGACCGAAAAAGTACCGAACAATG